TATTTATTATTGTTATTTCTGCAAATATTGAGTGGATTTCTATCTTTTAAAATATACGTTTAAGCAACGTTATGTTAACGTTGAGAACATTTCGTCTCTTTATATAACCTCTATGTCTTTCTTTATTAAACTATTAAACTTTTTCATACAGCACCATCACAGGTAGGATCAATTTAATCTTGCTTTTTTAGTAAAAGTAGAAGATATGGGTTGTTTGAAAGGTTCACGAATCACGAAATTTTGCAACGCCCTAACAAAATTGAAACGACGCACTTTCACGGGATCGAGTCAAAAAAATATATATATAACAAATCTTTACGTGTTTCTTGAAACATATCAATTCAGCGACCCATACCCTATCTCCATCTTTTCACACCGGAACCTGGGATATGGACGTGCCATAAACTGACTATTGTACATATCGCCGTTGTGCCGTACCTCTTTGTCTTGTGTAATTTACTAGAGTTTTATTTGTATAGTCAATTTCTTGTCTGTTGTCCTAGTATAACGCAGCAGCCCTAAACTGCTGTTATAATTGTTAGGGGTACATGTCGCACATATGTGTCTTAGGACAGTAAGTCCTGGAAAATGTATCCCGTCTCTGTTTTACTGTTTTTTTATTATGCAGATACTGTTACATTTTTGAGGCAAATAAACATACATACATACGTACGTACGTACATACATACATACATACATACATACATACATACGTACGTACGTACGTACGTACATACATACATACATACATACATACATACATACATACATACGTACGTACGTACGTATGTATGTTATACATACATACATACATACATACATACATACATACATACATACATACATACATACATACATACATACATACATACATACATACATACATACATACATAAGGACCATGCCGTCGGTGGCCAGACATCGTAATTCATCATTTACTCATTTAGGCCTGCTTAACAAACATTGGCGCGGCGGTGTGGCTCAACGGGCTAAGCGTTAGGAATACGCTCGCCACCGCACCTCTAACTACTCTGCGTGGGTTCGCAGGTTCGAATCCCATGCGGGGATGGTTATGTGCGAGAGGATTGCTGGACTCCTCGCCGTCGTTGGGTGGTTCACGTAACCGCTGGTCGGTTACGGCTTCCTCCACCACCAAGTCCGTGCTTCCGAAAACAAACAATACAGTAAATCTAATCCCATACCCGACTTGGAATGGTAACCGGACGAGAGGCCGTGGTTCGCCATATGGATAAGCCGTCTTATCGGCTTTCCTCTCCCCCGGGATAAATATGTAAATCCTATCCTATCCTATCCTATTGACCCACGGCCAGACTTGCTATGCAGCAAAAAGCATTCGCACCCATTACACTGAATAATTGAGTAACGTTAATCTGAGTAAATATGTGCTTGTTTTTGTTATTGAGTAGGCCTGCTAAAAGTTGGTAATTAGCTGTGTCAATAAAATATCAAAAATGCATATTTGAACTGTTTAGCATTATTAACGTAAACAAGGACCGCGAGAAAATTTTAATATATTAAAAGGGGGCGCGAGCACAAAAGTTTGGGAAGCTCTGCTCTATACTATAGTCTAGTATAGTGTACCGGTATTCTCTATCGACTCTATCTATCTAAATCCCAACATGACTGGCCTTAACCAGGAAATGTATTTCCCACTAGAGGGGGTAAAATCTCTTATTTCTATTATTATATCATTTGAAGATTTTATGTGTGTATGTATGGTATGTACCCACCGTATGTGTATTTTCCCCTAATGTAACAGTATCTGCATAATAGTTGAACAGTGTAAAATAGACGGGATACGGTACATGTTCAAGAACTTACTGGCCTAAGACACAGATGTGCGACATGCACCCCTAACGAGTATAACAGCAGTTTAGACTGCTGCGTTAGGCTAGCTCATATTCAGATATACCGGTAACGTTACCGGTACCGTACCGGTACTGTATTACAGTATTAGGACAATACAGCAATGTACCGGTACTGGTACATGAAATATGCTATACAAATAAAACTCAAGATGTCTACAAGACAGAAGGTACGGCACAACGACGATATGTCTGTATGTACAATACTGGGGTCTCGTGTAGTTCCATACCGGTACCTAACATACTTCTAGTGGTAGTAGCATAACAATTTTTCGATATGTCAATCCTAACTGCCATCTGACTACATCATCCAAAAATTACGCCACTACGACATCACAATCACGTCACAGAGCTTGCCAAACATATTTAATATCGCCCGAAATGGCATTGGCACCTATGCTAAAAAACTGACTGACATTATCGATCTCTCTCCTATTGGAATCGTTGCGACCAGAAAACTAGTGAAATACCTGTTCAATTTCGGGTCCTCGTTTGCGCGTCTTGGATGGCAGTTCGTATAATTTGAAGGGCTCTATTACGTCACTGTGACGTCGTGTTGACATAATTTTTGGATGGTGTAATCGGGTGGGGTTAGGATTGATACGTGAAAAAATTGTCATGCTACGCCCACTAGAAGGTACGAAACTACATGAGACCCCAATACCGGTGGTCAGTTTATGGCACGTACATGTCCCAGGTCAGCAGGTTCCGGTGTGAAAGGGTGGTGAGTGGGTAACATATACCTGTCTGCCTCAATACAGTACAGACTTAGTATAAGTCAGTATCGGTATCGGTAAGTCGCTAATTTTTACAATAAATCTGATAAACCAATATTTTAAACTAATTGATTTGCCAGTTCAGTTTTACGAGTACCGGTACCGGTACCCATTGGCCATTAATTAGGAGAATTGTGAAAAATATACCATCTTGCCATCATTTGGTCATTTATATTACACACTTAGGGTGGTGTAGCCAGTCTGCGGACGATTTCATTCAAACCGCTATAAAACAAAAACCAATATTTCTAACCCAATAATTTTTTCACTGTACAGCACACTATCCAAATTCCAAGAATTTTCCTCCATTTGGCTCACTAAAACAAACACTCTATGTGTCTCACAAACGAGGGGCGTCTGGGACCATGTCAGATGCTTCATATCGCGCCTTGCTTTTCTTAATAATAATCTAAATTAATCGCAGCTGTCGCGTGACCAAAATTGCCGTTTTTTGCTAAGAACTCTCGAATGCTGCGGTAAAAATTTTTTTCCTTCGGTAAATCGTATAATTTTTTCCCAAGGAATTCAATGATGTTATTAGATTGCGCCATTCTGTAGTATTTTGCGCAACTCCATAACACTGTATTATTACCGATATTGAGTGACAACAGTGTCCAGACGTCTCCCAAAGGAGGGGTGTCTGATCATCTGTAAAATGGGTTTCTTTAAAACGGGACAATGTCAACCGTTCTGTGTAGTGTGCGGTACTGCCGTAGGTGCATTGGCAATTATTCTACACGCTAAACCTTGAATTAACTCTCTACAACCAGGGGTTAAAGCTATACAAACCACCAAAGTACGACACTCGGAAGACGAGTTTGCGATCGAACGACCAGTGTGCGACCACGAATTTCAAGCCTTGAACATTGTTTCTGCTGCGTCGAGACTAGAGCATACGCAGCCATGCGTGAAAAAATTGGGCTTCTAATTGCATTTCTGACCGTCATATATTTTAAGAACACGGTTATATAGAACAAAACTCGTCAAATTATAAACAAAGCACCGCATCACAGCAATCAAACAGACAAAAACAGGGTGGTCGCAAATTGGTCGACAAAGATACTATCGACGTATTGGAAATGCGCACCCCCCTTTATATACTCCTTTATATGTAGAAACGCGAAATTTTAAAGATGGTTAAAAGAAACATATCTACCCTCCTGCCAAGATTCATCTTTTTATCTCTTAAATTTGTATAGATTTTCAAGCATTTTTAAAGAGACAATGGGTAGTGATAAGTGGACGTTAACACCTGAGAAATATTGTCGCGGTTGTTAATTTTTTCGGCATTAATTTAATCGATGGAGTTGATGGCCGCAAAGTGGCTGAGCCACCCTCATTGTGCAATAGTAACTAGTGCAGTCTATATCTTTACTTAAAATGTGATTTCACGCAAGTAATGAAGGATTTGTGAGGCTTTCTCTCGTCTCCAAAGTGAGCAATCAGTCCCTGACAGATAAGGGACCTGTAATTCTGAAATTGAAAAGAACATGAAGCAGAAATTAAACCTTACTGGCCCACACTTATCGAGTTACTTATTGGTGATGTATACATTCTGACATTAGCACCAGGTAAGTGGTTTCCAGTTGCTAGAAATTGTTTTTCCTAGGAGAGGAGATAAAAATCTTGATACAGAGATGGGCCATTCCAAGCAAAAGTTGAATTCCATGAATTTTTTTAAAAGTGTAGTGAAAGTAATTTTTTTGTATTTTTTATATTAAAAGACATTGGATTTTTTTGGACTGCTTCATTTCACCGAAAAAGTTAAAATTTCACCCAGGTTTTTGATGGTTTATAAAAAATGGCCTGAGATGTAGAAATTTTGGTATAATTGAGATATTTTGTGATGATTCGTGACACAAAGTGTTTGATTGTGTAATACAGTTATTTCATATGAAATAGACGCACTGGACTTAAGTTAATAAAGTTTAAATGCTGTAGAACATTTCTTCACCCATTTAACGATTTATTACCAGAAGTGGAAAAATTTCCTGTAGTGTCACATACAATATGCACACTATTGGCATGGATTTACAGTGTTACATTAAGTAACTTGAGCAACACATAGAGTGGTCCTTCAGCTACTGCACCAGAAAATATTATGCGCTCCTGCTGTATCATCACAAAAATTTACAGCACAACACAATGTACTGTTAATGCATGGTGGATTTGCCGTCCTGTAGTGTCACACTATATTTCACTTTATTTTTTATAACCACTAAGTAAGTCTTGGGTGTAACTTTTGTGCAATTTTTTCCATATTCAATAAAGCAATTGATTGGACAATGAAACAAAACATGTAGCTGAAAATGTAAAAATATATTTCATCTAACAAAAATCAAAATTTCTGGAATTGTCCTGTAGTGTCACTTGGAATATCCCTTACAAACACCATTGATCATATACAATACTATTGTTATACTATGGTTACTATATCCATAATATGTATTATATATTCGCAAAAGTCAGCAGTTGAGTCATTTTTGTTTTTAAAGCCCTCTTGCTTACGACTTTGGTGTAATTTTGTCATGATTCAATCAAAATTTGTTATGCTAGTGTTATTATCTGTTCAAGAACATGCCGACTTCTCTTCATTTTGATTATCTTCGTCTATTGATTGTTGTAGCAGAAAATGTGTATGTAGTAGTCATTGTTCAACACCGAAAATTTATCGTATACATTCATATTTGTGCTAACTGTTAGAGTTGGGCCGAGATTTGGATCCGGACTCGGATTCGAATCCACGCATATTTTGGACTCGGATTCGATTTCGAGTCCATGTCATTTTCACCGAGTCTATAATCAATTCTGTTTTCACTAATTTATGCCTATGTTTTGTACTTTTACCTCTATAAATCTCAGTACATACCCTAACTAACTAAAATTTAAGGTTAGATCTGTAACAATATCCCTCGTGTGTCGCTTTCAAACTATCTATCCTTTTTGGTACACATACGAACAATAAAATATGTGTTAGCGGCTTAGAGCAATATTTTTGAGTTTTCGATTCGCGTAAAAATGAAACATGCTCTGGATCAACCCAAGGGGGAATTCATATCCATATTGTATTGATGAGTGGCATCTACCATTTGTGAACGCGACATAGTAAGTTTACGGCTAGAAGTATCTGGAATTATGGGGAAGCATTGTAGTCAAAAGCTTTCATCCCTACTTACTGTTCAAAGATATTGCACAAGCTAAGTTCAAATGCAAACTTTTTCATGTATATCTTTGGCAACATTTTTCGTTTTTGAGGTGTCCTAAGTATTTTATATGAAAAGAGCATCCCAATTTGTTAAATTCATGATGTTGAAGTTGTCTGGTTTCTTGGTGTCAGCAATACGACCTTATCAATCAAATGATTCTTTTCTTTGACAATTCTCAATAGCATTTTAGAAAAAAGTTATTTTATTCAGATGTATCTGATTTCCTATTTAGTCATGTAAGCATTAGACTAATATAGACTAAATAAAAATGGGTGAAGAGGAACTCAAAGTTGGAATGATGACGAAAAGAGCTCAACAGAAGAAGAGCATTGGTCCAACAAATTATAAAGAACGAGTGTTTGTTCTAACTCGTTCCAAATTGTCCTATTATGACGGAACAATAAGCCAGCGTGGGAAAATGAAGGGGTCTATTCCAATCGATAATATCAAGTTTGTAGGTGTCATTGAAGATGAGGCATTAAACAGGACAAGTGCATTTCAAATTATGCACAAGGATCTTTATTTGTATTGTTGTGCTAAGAGTGCAGATGACAGGAACAGTTGGATAAATGCAATTAAGAATGTATGTCATGAACGAATGTGCAATATCTTGACATATTATCATCCAAGCATTTTTTCTAACAGTAAATGGCAATGCTGTGGAAAATCAGAAAAAGATGCTAAAGGATGCAAACAGGAGGTGCCCGTGTCTACCAATGATATGGCTCAAAGTAAGGGATCAGGCAGACCTACTGGAAGAAAGGAGGTAGCGAGGAATGACTCGCCTCCAAAACCACCTCCTAGGCCACAGCAAGTCCCCAGAGTTGAAATAGAAGTTGTCGCACTTTATGACTTTGCTCCTCAAGAAGCAGGTGATATTAAACTCATTCAAGGGGAATACTATACTATAGTAGAAAACTTTAGAATGTATTGGTGGAAAGCCAGAGACCGATATGGTCACGAAGGCTATGTTCCCGCGAACTATGTTCAAGACAAGCAAAAGGATGGTTTGGAAACGAAAGACTGGTTTCAAACAGATATATCTCGGCAGCGTGCTGAGATGCTCCTTCTAGAGGATGGTTGTGAAGGATCATTCGTTATTCGAAGTTCATCGCATAAAGATGTTCCTTATACATTGTCAGTGGTGTCAAAATGTGGTAAAGTGAATGGAAATGCTATTGTGAAGCATTATCACATTAAGCAAAATATAAATAATGAATTTTATTTCACAGAGAAACATGCACATCTCACTGTAATCGAACTTATCAATTACCATCAATTCAATGCAGGAGGTCTTGTAACCAGATTAAAGCAAGCTCCTGCTTGTTTTCGCACAGAGCCACCAATGACGCACATGTTTAGCAACTCACAATGGGAAATAGACATGAGGGAATTACAGATGGAACGAGAACTTGGAAATGGCCAGTTTGGTGTTGTGAAGCTTGCATTATATCGAAACAAACAATATGTTGCTGTAAAAATGATGCGAGAGGGTACCATGGAAGAAGATAGTTTTATAGAAGAAGCAGAAGTGATGACTAGACTGCATCACAAACACTTAGTGCAGTTGTACGGTGTTGTCACCCGGCAAAGGCCAATTTGCATAATTACAGAGTACATGGAAAATGGTTGCTTGCTTGACTACATTCGTAATCACAAGGGTTTACAAGATCAGCCAGCTCAACTTTTAGATATGTGCTATCAAGTTTGTGACGCCATGCACTATTTGGAAGAAAACAATCTTATACACCGTGACCTTGCTGCAAGAAATTGTCTGGTAGGCAAACAACTTATCATCAAAGTATCGGATTTTGGTTTGACAAGATTTGTTCTTGATGACGAATATACCAGCTCACTCGGAAGTAAATTTCCAATCAAGTGGGCAGCACCTGAAGTTTTAAACTATACTAAATTTAGCTCAAAATCTGATGTGTGGGCTTTTGGAATATTAATGTGGGAAATATTTAGCGGTGGTAAGATGCCATATCTTGGAATGGGAAATGGCGATGTTGTTGAACAGGTTGGTCAAGGGTATAGACTCGAAAGACCAGGACATTGCCCCCATGACGTATATAGTATCATGAAAAAGTGCTGGGAATTGGAGCCGGAGAAACGTCCTTCATTTGATAATCTTATCAGTATTCTGATAGAACTATTAGAAAAAATACAAACAATAGATTATCGACGTGGTGGGTATTAAAATTGTTCCATTGTATTGTAGCTCGAGCTTTTATGCAAAATCACTTTGTTCATTTTCCAATCAAGTGCAAACAAACACTTTTGTTATTTGAGACCTTTCATACTCAGCGAGGACATTTGTTCAGTTTTACGAGTTAATCTCAACAATGTCCTATTCCATTCTTTACAATATGACTGTCAAAGAAGTACCCATGGATAACAACAATTATACTTTATAGTAGCCGTTCCCAAAGGAGGCAATTTGCTAAGTGCGGCCAGAAAATTAGCAGAATTGTGGTGAACATAACTATTATATTATTGAATATTTTATATATTGTATTTATTGTTCCTTATTTTAAATGCTTTGTGGATGAACGATAAATTCATTTTACCTTTCTATGTCGTCTACTTAATGTTACATAGTGTCTGCCTTCATTGTTACACGACGATAGAGGTAGACACTACTTGCTACAATTTCGCAGTTTAATTATCTGCTCAACCAAGTGATTTTTAAGTATTTTAAAGGAAAATCAGGCAGGGTTTAGTTTAAAATGTTTCTACTCCCAATTCAATTAATTATCTACTTTTCAAAACATTTTTTCATTATTGAAACCCACAAAAGGTTATTTCCTGTATTTGTGTATGATTGCTAATTTTGACAGCCGATGGCAGTTAACTCCATTGTGTAATTTTCCATTGAAAACTATGTCATGTCATGAGAGCAAATATTGGATTATGCATTGTATTTTTTGTAGCTGTGTATTGATTGAATCATGCTTGTATTAATGGGTTCAATGTGTTTATATTTTTTAACTTTTAGAAATTGAGCAGACGAGTTCCCCATATTAATTATGAATAAGAACTATTTCTTGGGCTGTGAATATTGTCTGAATTTATTTAATGATGTGTCCTGGGAAATGGGAATTCTTACAATTATGAGTATTTTGAAATGACTTGAATTTAACATAAATCAGTATTTTATTGTACATACATTCAAGCGCAATCCTCAATTTAAAGTTTTTCTTTTATCAAGAATCGATTTTTTACATATATTATTTAATTGTCCTTGCTATGCATCAGCCAGTGATTGGTTATAGGTAAACTGTCCAAGAAATACAATATGAGATACCTGCTCTTTCAAATTTGAATGCTAATATTTTTTGTGTAAGTCGCTCTTTCAAATTTGAATGCTAATATTTTTTGTGTAAGTCACAATTTTTTCTGAATTTCAGCAAATAAACCACCTGTGATGGTAAATAAGACAATGGTTTGTGTCTTATCCAATGCATGACTTGTGTTAAGTTTTCGAAGATTAAAAATGCGAAATTTATTGAAATCTCTAGTAATTTTTTTCATCTTCTAACATTAAAATTCAGTCTGTCTAATAAAGTGGTTCTCAAACCTTTTACCTGTTAAGTACCCCCCCGAGTCATGAAATATTCGACACGAATCCCCAGTAATCAGACATCAAACAAAGTTGTAATATATTGACAAACAAGCAGTGGTTCCCAACAGCTGGTCCGCGGACCGGCACCGAACGCTTTTTTGTCGGTGTGCCAGAAGTTGTTTTTCTGCAGTCTCAATTGCTTTAACGAACCCGAAATAACGACTGTTACGCAATTTCTCTTCCGCCGACATATTGCTGTTTGCGGTATTAATGGCCCGACGACGTCTTGGCGCCGAGTAATCATACTTTTCGCTTCCGATTTATCGCCAAAGCGTCTGTCAAATCTCGCAAGATTCAGAAACTCAAAGATCGGCACAGTGTTTTTTCTTTTCTGCTTAATATGAACATCAAATTAAAAGGTTATGAATACTTTGTTCAAACCAGAAAACAGTCATGGGAAGTATAATATTCCAGGGCTTCACCTTGACATCCAGTAGAATATGAGCTGGTCACAAGACCCGCAGCAAAAGCATGGGCAGCTGAAATCTTTTCTAGGTGATGGACAGCAGGGCAGTGAACCTGGTGAAGTTACCGACGACGTTGTCATTTTAATGTAAATTCGTTTTGTTTGAGGCGTTGAATAACTGCAGAGGGGTTAATATGAGATCAGTTGACCAACAAAGCATTTTGATATTTTGTAACAAGAACGATGACAATAGGTCTTCTTCTGGAAAAAGTTTGATCCACTCATTTCAATTTTTGGCCAGCACATTATTTGTTTTTTTTCATGTGAAATGTTTTCAAGTGTGCCTTTTATTACCTAGAAGCATAATGAGTGCCCGACATTGCATTACGTTTCGCAAATATATGTTATTATTTTCTATTACACTCATTTCAATTTTTTGCTGATCCGCGAGTACATTTTATTTAATTTTACCGGTCCGTCAGAAAGTTTGGGAACCACTGTTTTAAATGATATTGAACAAAGGTATTTATTTCATTTATACAGAACATTGGTGTGAAGGCTGTCCCTGTTTATTGCGAGTAAGTTTCTCAATTCGAGGAGCAAACAGCACATTTTCTTTTAATATTTCACAGTTTGGCTACAAAGCTGTGGATTTCACATTGTTGAGTAACAACAACACAAGATCAGGGAAAATCCACGCGAGTTTCAATCGGCACGCATTTTCCTTTGATTAGTAAAGGACATAAAAAAATAGCAACACATGAAAACTCAACTGCCATTCAAGTACCCCTCAACCCCAGGTTGAGAATCCTTGGTCTAATAGAACAAACTTGATGTAGTTAACAGCGCGAAATATAAAGCCTATAACATTTCTGTTATCTTACTATTCCAACTCTCATAATGATCTTTAATATTTTTATCTTAAATTGCTATGGTGTTTTATTTCTTTGTTTTTTTTTCACAAGTTTTAATGAATTGAGTTGATTTGATGCCACCAGTTGACTTTTCTTTGGGTATTTTCTATACATCATCAAATAAGTTTTTCATTATTGTTGTTAGGAGTTTGAATATCATACTGTTCTACCCCAATCTTCAATTTCTTTTTACCCTTGCTAAAATTTAAAAATTTCATCATGCAATCGTTGACGTGCCGTTTTGACCGCAAGTAAATGTTGGGTAATAATTAGAGGAGTGAAAACTTAAATTATCTGTCATGTACATGTATATAGTGGATTTTCTACCATATTATGCACATTGTTATTGCTGTCATTCCCATTCCACTTTAATCTCACATTTGAATACAATATATCAAATTATACATAGTGGGATTTCAAAGTGATTGTCATTAACATTTATGGTATAGTTACTATAGTAGACGGGGACTTATGTCCGGCAATATCTTCTCAGTAAATATAAGTCTCAGTGGCACAAGGAAAATTTCAGCTCATAAAGAAACTACACAAATATATAACAAAACTAACCCATTATTTCAAAATTTCTCAGAAAAATCTCAGTAACCAGTCGGCTCAGAATTTATGACTGAGATTAGGATGGATCGGTATGTTAGTCGTTGGGATGGATACATCACGCTGATTCAGATATTTAAGTTATATGTTAAGCATAACAAACATAAAATAAAAAATGATCTAGCAATTGAGGAGGGTCCGCGGAAGACCGCGAAAAAGAATGAAAATTAGTCATCCAGTCAGCGACACCTTATTAGGCCTGATTACATGTCCGCTGGAACCGGTCTTATAGGCCTGATTACATGTCCGCTGGAACCGGTCTTATAGGCCTGATTACATGTCCGCTGGAACCGGTCTAGCAGACCACATATTCACGCTTCAAAAATTTAGCCAACAAATTTGAATTTGTATGATTAAAAGAATTATAAATTCAAGCCTTATAAAGAAACTTTTATTGCTTCAAAATAAATGTTTTGCATTATGTTATATAATGGCTCTGCTTCAGTGGTTCGCCTGCGATTCAAATCCGTGCTATCGGTCCAGAACATCAGACCTCCTATTTAGGAGGTCTGAAAGTGAGCTAACCGGTCTTGCTCAGTTGCTTCGCCGTGCCACTCGAGAAATCGTGAATCACCGTGATCGAAGGAAGTATGGAAGTTGTTTTCTTTTTCATCTCTGGTAAGTGAGTTGCTTTTTTGAACTAATAAAAATTCAGCTAGATAGGGCAAGTTTAATTTAAACATCTTCCGCATCTATTGTGTCGCTGCTGTACACAAATTTGAAACACTGGTACTGGTGGGATCCCGGCATATTGGCATGATAGGTTGTTGTTTCGAAACAGAGAATTAAATCTTGATGTCTAAAGATTTATTTGTATAAACTGAGCGCAGTACGACTTCAGTTTGCATTGAGAATTCTTTTGGACTTGCATTATACAGCCATACCGCATCCTAGCTGGTACCGATACCCTTACTGTACATACCAGTACCAGTATAAATACAAAGCTTCAGTGTCGGTAAAGTTGCAGTAGTAGGGCGATATTGAATAATGAAAGTGCTTCTGTTTACATATGATGAGCCCACTTCACACAAGTGTTTGGTTGATAAAATGTAATTGTTTTAATTTGGTTGCCAGTCTATCAGTAGACTACTGGTAACTGTAGGCCTACTGTGATTTTTGAATGGATCGTGTGGCGTAAGGTGCCAGTAGTCTGCACCGTTGAACGCTGGATGGTCGGCCAAAATTATCTAAATCGTCTATCTTTTATGCCCCCAATAAATTTGTCGTTTTGTTCTTAGATTGTGGGCAAATTTCAACGGGAAAGCGACCCCTCCCTCATATTCTGCAAATAACTTCAAAGAATTTCAAGAACGTGCATTTAATTTTGATGCTTTAATTAACATTTGTATTGAATTTATGAATTTATTGAAAATAAAATATATGCAGTGTTTGCAAATCATGACTTATTTGATTTAATCCGGCAACTCCAAAACTGTTTTCAGCTTGTTGGTTTGGACGAGGCCACTAAGTAGTCTCCGAGACCACTTTGACCGAACCGGTTCGCTGGACTGGTTTTGATGAAACTTAGAATACACAATCATGAAGAACTAATTATGTTTTATTCATATAGAAAATTTATAGTAACGGTAGTCTGACCAGATCACTGAGATGCGATCACAGAACCCCGCAAGGCCCGCAAATTTTCATTTTGATGACGTCATCATGTCATCACAAGAAACCTCAAAGTGAAAAACGAATCCCATGGAGCGCAGGAAATTTTTTGAAATAAATAAAGGTAGTAGTCTACTCGCGACATCAACAATCTTTAATAGCTGTTAATGTGAATGCACTTGGTCCAGTAGTTGAAGAAAAAAGACAACAACATAATAATATCCAAACAACAACATAATAATAACCAAACGTAACTACATGGCCATTTCGTGCCCAAGAAGCATTACGACGCAGCGACGGACAAATATCCGCGGGCATGGTAAAGATATTCAACTTTTATTTACGCATTTCGTACTGTCGTTATATATTCATTTCAACTCAAAATCCTTGGAGATGGTTAGTACAACAAGACGGAATTTGGATGTATTTTCTTCGAAATTAAAATTGGAACTGAATAATATAACCATCAATCGACAAGATTCATTTGTTCAGAGAGAAATGTCACTGATCACACCAGTCGGGAACTCGTATCAAATTTGTTTCCAAAAAGTTTGACAAGTGCGTAAGCCCATTACGTATTCCTGTGCCGTAGGGTTTCCCAAACTGGAGTCCGCAGACCCCTGGGGTTCCAGGGGTGACTGCACAAGGGAGCCACAACTATATGAAAAGAGTGCAATCGATCTTTAATGATTGACATCAACTAAAAAAAACATTGTATCTTTTTGGTTGAGCGTCGCGAAAGAATATCCATTGTTGTCAGGAAAAGCAATTGAAATTTTATTGCCTTGGCAGCATTTTAGGGTGGAGTTTAAAAACCGCACTTAACTTAAACCTGGATTAGGACTAATCTCGGGTTAGTTAAACTCGGTTTAACTTCGATAGTTAACCGAAGATCAAAAACCTAGTTTAGCGGTTACTTAACTAATCCTGGTTTAAGTCCGACGCCACGAGGCATTTCATCAAGACGTCGTGGCATGTTGCTCTTTGACCCCGTATTTCCATGGCGATGACAACGCGAACACAATTTTGTTGTAATTTGCTGTCTTTGCAAAGTCAGTTTTTGATGTATTTCGTTGATTTTGCCGAAGCAAAACAAGCTGGGCGGTAGAACTACGAAGAGCCGACGCGCATTACACGAAATATCGAAATAATAACAACTTATCATAAATAGAATTCTTCCCACTACTGGTACAGTCTACAACTACAACAGGGTCGGCCAACCTT